TGTCCATCTAGAAAGGCCCTCCTGGATGAAGTTACAGAAAGATCAACCCATACTTTACTTGTAGTGTGTCCTGCGTTTACCCACGTTTCATCAAGGTAATAAATCTTCCTGTTTTGATTTCTATATTTCCCAATTTTTGTTAAATAATCCCTCCTCCATAGCAAAATTTCTTCTCTATCCAGTAGTAAACTATTACGACCCCGTTTTTTCCATTTGAAATTTAAATGCTTCAGTAACGCATGGAAAGTTGATCGTTTGAAATTTGGCAACGTTGTATCTCCATATACCTCCTGCAGTACTTTATCTATAGTAGGTATTTCATTCCTAAAGAAGAATTCATGCACTTTCCTCCTAATCGCATGCTTATCAGCTTCATCCAATGATTTAACAATACTTTTGCGATGTTTACTGGTCATTGGCTCAGAAAAGGTGTGATTTCTTTGATGGTTGATGCCTCGTTCTCCTCGCGCTCGATCTTATAGATATTCAAAATGACCTCTTTCATTTCTGCACTCAGGTGTCTTTTTTTAGAGCGTTTCCTAGGTGGACTACAGGAGTTTACAACTTCATCGGCAGTATCTGTACTACTGGGCATTTTGCGCAAGCAGTTGATAACAATAACAATCAATAACAAGGTATAACAATAACAACGACAAACTCAACAACTTAAGAAGATAACAAACGAAAACGTCCAAAGAAATATCAAATTGCAATGATGCACACGACATACGTAACACGTCTGAACCTGAATGTGACTCTGCCTTGATACGACTGCTCTGCCGCTCGGCATAGGCATTTAATTGCGAATTGACCAATGAGGGCTCCTGTTTTACGTCGAGACGGCGGCGTTAGCGTGAAAATCACCCGAACCTTTTGTTTACATCCGGTCTACCTCTTATCTGAATATACTGTAGATACATATATTAGAAAGAGATGGATAGCGAAGCTCATAACCGCGGTGCCTAGCACCGCTGACCCGGAAATCTGCCGCGTTGCCAAAATGTTACAGCAGTTCCTTGAATCAAGATGATATTGAAAGTATGCGTTAGTTTAATCTTTGCGCCCTAATAACGTTTTTATTTTGAGTGCACACATTTTTGAATTGTGAATTGTGTCAAATCTGTTTAGGATTGATTCCCGATCGGTCCTAGGGACGCTCCATTTTAGATGGCCACAAATTCTGCATCACTGGTTCGTTTATTAACACCGCATCTTGTACATTTCAAGGCAAGGTTTCCACCTTCATGATCATAGTCGAACGATTTTGGTCAGTACCCATCTAGTGCTCGTAATCAAAGATAATTCTAAAATAAATTAAAACACTAAAGGCCGTATCGTCAGTCGTTTCTACAATTGTAGGACGCCTTTACGGCCTCCTTGATTTTCACTCATTCAGAAAAACTGGGGAATTTCTAGATTTTTACTGTTCCGTAACAGCGTCTGCGCTCTCCTATTGTGACTATACAGTGTGAGTCTTCATAAAGTGCACATATCAAAATCAGGGAAACTACACTCTATTTCATCGACGGATAAATCATCAAAAAAACCTGAATTTGATTTTTTATGAATATATGAATATTTTAAAATTTTTAGTAGCAGCTTCTAACCATATTGAAATAACTCGTTACAACTTTTAAACTAAATGTCCTATCATATTGGAATACATTTTGTGGTGATTGTTGGTAAAAGGAAGTGCCTGAAAAGTGAAGAATTCCAGGAAAATTAATGACATCCATTTAGAATAAAGAAAATTTTGATGAAAATCTGTTTTTTTTTTCATCATTTTTACAATAATTTCAAATTTTCTATGAATATCGTCCCTTGTACCCTACCTTTTTTTATTTGTAAGTTATTCTACATGTTATCAGCTTTATAAAAGTAAAAATTGCACGTTTATTACTCAAATGTAACAGTTTCTATGAGTGTTTATAAAAAAGCCCATGCCCATCGTCTTGCTAGGCACCATTGTTTATCATGTAGATACCTTTTTTTGGTGATTCAATGTAGAGCCGCGCGGGCTGAAGTACGAGTGGGGAGGCGGGCCCAGTTGAAAAACAATTGAATGTTGGGCAGTTAGGCAGCTATTTGTGTTTCTCCTGCCAACTTTATCAGTTTCGTTTGCTACATATCACGCTTTCGCTTTTTGGTCGCGATGCCAGGTATAAGTGATTTCCCTCCGGCACACATTGCCGATATCCATTATTATTATGGAATGTACCGAGGGAGTGCTAGAGCTGCTTGCACAGCTTATCTAGCTGCATTTCCAAATCGACGCCCTGTTCCATCAGCCCGTAACTTCCAAGAAGTACATAGAAGACTGGCTAACACTGGACTTGGTTTGCCTCGAGATCGCCGCGAACCAGGTGTTATTATTCATGTTGCTATCGAAGAAGCTATTTTGGATGATTTGTTTGCTGACCCGACTACTAGTACGAGACGTTTGGCGTTACGTCATGGCGTATCCCAGAAATCGGTTTGGCGCATCTTGAGGAAAGCAGGGTTGCATCCATACCATTATCAAAGGGTGCAGCACTTGCATGAAGATGTGGATTGGCGTTCAAGGTGCGTTATGTCTACATGGATTTTAATAAAAACAAGAGGCAATCCTGAATTCCCGAAAACAATTCTGTGGACAGATGAATCCCAATTCACGAGAGACGGCATCGTGAACTGTCGTAATTTACATAAGTGGTGCCCAAAAGATGAAAACCCTAGGATGAAAAGGGCTTCAACATTTCAAGTGAAATTTTCTGTAAATATGTGGGCCGCACTGATTGACAACTTTTTGATTGGTCCAATAATACTCCCGAGGACATTAAACGGAGAGAGATTTCTGGAGCTTTTGCGGACTGAACTGCCCTTGCTGTTGGAAGAAGTGCCGCTGCAAACCCGTCGAAGAATAATGCTTCAAATGGATGGATGTCCTGCCCATTACTCGCTGATTGTCAGGTCTTTTCTTAATGAAAATTATCCAGGCCGCTGGTTCGGTCGACAAGGACCTGTTGGGTGGCCGGCGCGTTCCCCAGATCTCACGCCTCTCGAATATTTTTTATGGGGGACAATGAAACAAAGGGTGTACAGCAGTTCCATAAACAGCGAAGCGGAACTTGAAAAAAGAGTTTTGCGTGTTGCAAACGAAATGAAAAATGATCCCGAGATGATTCGTAGGGCAACTCATCAAATTTCACTTCGCGCTACAATGTGTTTGCAGCAACGGGGTGGCCATTTTGAACATTTGATGCATTAAGCCAAAATGATTATCCTATAGACGAGTCTATTTGATTTTATTTGATAAAGATAATGAATGATTCATGTTGTTTTATTCCTACTCTGGCGTTGAACTGCGTTCACTGCTTTTTGAAACGCTGATTTAAAAACTTGTATCTAAGTAATAAACTTGCAATTTTTCACCATTAGGAAGCTAATAACATATAGAATAACTTAACATTCAAAAAAGGTAGGGTAAATAGGACAATTTTTATTGAAATTTAGCAATTGTTTTAAAAATCATTGAAAAAATAGTGAGTTACATCATATTCCTCTTTATTTTAAATTTATAGCATTTAATTTCGTGGAAATTTTCACTTTACTGGTACGGCCTATTATTTGCAATCACTACAAAATTTATTCCAATGTGATAGGACATTCAGTTTAAAAGTTGTAACGATTTATTTAAATAGGGTTAGCAGCTGATTCTAAAAATTTTAAAATATTCATAAAAAATCAATTATTGTTTATTAATTTTTTTTTGATAATTTTTCCGTCAATAGGTGTAGTTTCCTTGATTTTGCTATGTGCACTTTATGAAGACTCACACTGTATAACTGATGAGGTCAAAAGCATGAAAAGTTTGATGCAAATAATTATTTGTAAGGTAACCTCAAAATAGAACTTTGGAACAGAACAGTAGAAAACTATGAAAACTAGGAGGCTATAAAGGCGTCCTACAATAAATTATAAGAACGCCTGATGATACGACCCTAAGTCGGATCAAAACAAATAAATAATTCTAATAAACATGAAAACAAAATATTAAATTAAATGTTCGAGCAGACCTCCTTCTTGGGTTTGACAGTAACCTAATCTATTGTAGCAGCCTTTGCGAACATTTTCTGAGTAACATACTGGCAACGCGGCATATTACGCGATCTCCTGCGTCACCGTTGCTAGGCAATGTGGTGGTTTGTATGTATCCAAAGAAGAAAAAATATCAGTTGAATAGATCGAATGTTTTTAAATACTACGTAAAAGGTATCTTTGCGAATGACTTTATACTCGTAGTGTCAAAAACAAACTCGTCGTGAAGAACATGCATATGGTACAATGTAAAAAAAACGAACTCAAGTTTTAAGCATAAGTCAAACATTATAAGTAGCACCAGTAAAACTGAAAGTGATCTCGAGATTGTGGTTTATGTCTACTTACAGGTATCTACATATGACTTATTTGTAGACTACTCCTCTACCAGAAGCATCATAATCCTTTTAGTGCAGTTTTTGGTCAATCTGTGTTCCACTGGTATAGTTAATGCAAAGTGTTTTTGCACTAGGTGCACTACCTAATTGATGAAACATAATTCGCATAAACTTCGATCCGGATAAGTAGATACAGGTATATACTCCTTTTATTTCTCATTGCGTGTCATATAGACAATAGAATAGAATGAAAAAAGGCGGAGAACAAATGCAGCTCTGAGAACAGCCGTCTGAGCAATTTGAAAATTACTGTAATAATTTTGAACACCGAAAAAGAATTTTGTTGAAATATTGGTTCACTTTATATGAAATTACGTGGTTCAATTTTGTTCACAGTGCGAGCCGCGTCCTCAAATGTTTGCAAACTTACCCCGCTATCTAGTATAGGCTCCCTTTGGGCTTAATGGCAGCGATGTCCAATTTTTACTCCAAACTGCCAAAATCAGATGGACAAAACACATATTTGATAGGAAGATAACCTATTTTCCACGAATTCATCCTTTTTGACGTCTGTTAACGTGAACAGCTGATCAGCAATTGACATCTTTGCCTGTTTATGCCTTTCTAACCAACAATCGTCAAACAATTTTCAAAATGAAACATCGGTTGACTTTCTGTTATACGCTTATTTTAGGATCACAACTCGTCGCGTGTTTTTGGCCTCCTCCAGTAGATATAGATTTGAAACAGGAGGAAGTATTCGAACTCTCTGACCCTATAAGAGATGAAGAAATCCAAGACGTTTATGACGAAGAAGAGATGATTCAAGATAAGCATAGAAAAGCTCTAGGAGTGAAACCTTATTCGGATCATCTATATGTTTTTCATAGAAACCTAAAGCGCGAAAAGGCGGTGAAGACAGAATCAGTGGAAATAAAGCAAAGTAGAAAGTTTCCCGAGTCAAATCCAGATGCAGAAGAATCGATTCCCTGGAAGGCTGGATTTCTCGATGAGAAAGGTACTATCATTCAAGACAGAAACTGGTAACAAAAAACCTTAATACAGTACAGTTCGAGCATTTTCGATAAAATTCAAATGAAATAAAAAATAATGTAATAACCTCTTAACTTTCATAAATATTTCTGTCTGTAGCATATTTTCTCACCTGTTAGTTCACCAACCAGGGATTTTCGTTTCTTATCTCTCATTTTTGCATTTGCATATGTAATTTCCAGAAAGGATAAGAAAAAGTGGATGCGCAACTATGTCTAGCTTTGAATCTCAAATGAGTGTATTTGAGATAATGGAATTATCATCAATACATATTATAAACACACAAATCCTCACTATGCACCTATGCACTGCCGTTTCCTTCCATCTAGAGTAACCAACTTTCAGCTTAGACCTCCGATAATGCCAACTCTGAAGTAGATGTTAGATTAGAACCAAACATTGATAAGTGAAACATCATGACGGTTAGGCAACACGTACAACTACAAAACGAGTTCACATCATCAGCTAGTGCTAAGTTAACATCTTGTAGAAAACCTACGTTATGTCAAAAAAAAAAACGACCTAATGTCCCTTTTCAAGATACGTAATAACCAAGAAGATCATTTTTAGAAATAAAATTGTGGGGGCTACAAATTGGGGGTTGTAAGGGATGGATACATTTCCTTTAAAATAGAATGAATGAGAAATGTCTTTGATTGGTGGCTCTGCTTCTGCTCCCTGGGTTCATCGGCGGGCGTGCCGGTCTCTATCATTATCCCTTTACTACTGTAGCTGTGCCGGGTGCGGATCGGTATGCAGGAGGAGCGACGTTGCCAGACTGATGATATTAGCGGTAGGACAGGGAAAGGATCTGTATACACTCATTGTATGATTTGACTTATTTGATCCATTTAATTTCTCTGTTGTACCTGTTTGTAACTAGAGAGTCTAACTTATGGTGGACACAATGCTTTAAGGAATAATGATGGCGTTGCATGGGAAGTGCAGAGTCAAGCTACTTGACGCTATTTTTTAATCACATAATTCATTTTGACAACCCATTCAAGGCGAGCTTTCCGAAGACATTTATTACGTGGACGACGAACGTCTAAAAGAATCCAAAAAACACAAGAGAGCAGACGACGAAACGACAGAAGTCAGCTATGATTACGCCCAAATGAAGGCCAAATACAACGAACTTGTTGAAGAGACTGCGCGATCAAATGAAACGTTGAACTATACAGAAATCAAAGAGGATGAAACTCCAAAAGAAGCTGTAGGGGCGGTGTTAGACATGAAAGTACCCAAAAATTGTACCGAGCAAGAAAAAAGTGGGATAGGGTTGCAGGCTATTGAATGTTTGCTTGATGATTTGAATAAACCAAAGATGAGAAATCATACTTTAGGCACGTACATAAACTGTTTTGGAATAACACGCTTACTATGATTTGTTTAGTGACCGAGATAAATTTTAAATTTGAGTTTATACACCAAATTATTGATCTGAAAAATAATTGAAACACCAAAGTAAACTATATATATATATATATATATATAGTTTATATGTGTATATATATGAGTATATATATATATATACAGGGTGTCCGCAAAGTTGGGGTTTTCCTTTTCAGAAACAACTGCCCTTGAAATAACAAAGGTAATGTGTAGTGAAACGAGGGCGACCAAGTAAAAAAAAAATAAAGGAAAGAGTACTCACTCTCCAGTTGACGAGAAGGGCTAAGTACATATCTGCCCGAAATCATACCGCTCCAACAGAAAATGAAATCAGCTGATGCGCTACCGAGCAGACGCAGGCAAACAAGGAAGGCAAAATGTTTCGTAAAAAGTCTAGGTATTGCATCCCGTCCAATCGATTTGGGAGAATAAATGGTCCAATGAGCATACCGTTTACCTCTACACGCGTGACCGTCCCGTCGGTTGTAGGTTGCATACTAACCTGACACACTGACCCCGACCCAGTTCTGCCGTCGGGTTGAGAGCTTGTAACAGTCGGGGATATCGCGGCGGGTCGCGGCTACAGGACGGTATTCAGATATTTTTGATGTTGCAGAGCCCTTTATCTCGGTTCCCTTAAGCCATTGGTGTATATGGTACTAAGAAAAATTGCTTATGTTTTCAAGATCTACACGTCGTGTAAAGGAAAACCCCAACTTTGCTGACACCCTGTATATATATATATATATATATATATATATATATATATATATATATATATATATATATATATATGAGTATAGGTGAAAAATTAAAGCTTCCGCTTTTTGTTGGGTACTTCTACAAAATTTAAGCAAAGAGGACTCTTTATACTTTTTTTAATTCTCTCTAGCTTTCAATGGACTTTGCCATCATCATCAGGAGCTGCAATTACAATGATAACAGTAGCAACAAAAGTGTAAAATGAATTTAAATTGAATCAACTTACAGTAATATGTGAGTATATATATATATATATACAGGGTGGCGCATCGAAAACGAAACAGACGCATTTACTGGCAGCTCAGTTTTTTTTTTGGAAAAACGCTGAGACCCGTCGATTTTGTTTTCGAGGGGGACACAAGTTTGGCAAAAAATCACGTTAACACGTGCAGCCCCCTGGGCGGGGGTGACACCAACCCTAAAATCTTAAATGGCAAGGTGGGTCGAGTGATATCTTATTTTAAAGGTGTTTCAATTCACTTTATAATGATGTAAAATACATGAGCTTCAGTTCAGTAGTTTTGAAGATTTATTGATTTAAAGCTTAAAGTAGACTTTAATAGGTACATCATATTAGTTTGTACTACTTTCAGAAGATATTTGACTATAAGAATTTATTTAATAAGTAAATGCTTTTCTTCACTACGCCCAAGGTTTGTTTATCATTTTGTTGTTGAAATTATCGAAATATTTTTCGGAAATAATCAGTGCTCTAATAGAACAGCAGAAATATTTAATGAGCGACATGAGAACAGTAACGTGCATCGAAAATGTGTTCTAGAACTTGTAGCTAAATTTCGGGAAACTGGGTCAGTCGCCAATAAAAAACGCAACATTGAAATCCCATAAGGAACGAAGCAATAGAAGTGGGGGTTTTAGGGCAAGTTTATGTAGATCCTACGTTAAGTACCCGCAACTTGTGTGTGGTGTTACTCGACGTACTGTCCAACGGATTCTAAAGGCCCATAGTTTTGGCGATCATTTAGATGGTCCTTTTTTCTTACCTGGAAATTTGACCGGTGAAATGTATTTGGAGTTACTGGAAGACGCCATAGATCCTGCATTAACAGCCATAATTGAAAATTAGAATGATCAGCGGTACATTGCGAATAGGTTGATGTTCCAACAGGATGGTGCCCCACCACATTACGCATTACGTGTTCGACAATATTTAGATCAGACGTTTCCAGATCGATGGATTGGTGGAAGAGGTGCCATTGAATGGCCCCCAAGATCGCCCGATTTATCACCTTTGGATTTCTTTATGTGGGGTCATTTAAAAAGCAAAATCTATGCTACTCAGCCAACATCATTAGAAGACCTGCGACAAAGAATTTATTATTGCATGGAGAGTCATAGTGGCCATTTTCAACATTTACTTGACTAACGGTTATGATGATGTATTAGTTTTATTTAAGCTTTAAATCAATAAATCTTCAAAGCTACTGAACTGAAATACATTAAATTTATATCATTATAAAGGGAATTGAAAGACCTTTAAAATAAGGTATCACTCGATCCCCTTTTTCATTTAAGATTTTGGGGGTGGTGTCACCCCCGCTTAGGGGGCTGCACGTACTAACGTGATTTTTTGCCAAACTTGTGTCCACCTCGAAAACAAAATCGACGGGTCTGAACGTTTTTAAAAAAAAAACTGAACTGCCAGTAAATGCGTCTGTTTCGTTTTCGATGCGCCACCCTGTATACATATATATATATATATGTATATTAGACAATATGCTCGAAGCGTCACCTATCTGCAGGTTTTTCAATTATTTGTCACGATATAATTTTTTTTTAATATAGTGTATATTTTGAAGACGAATATGTATTATTATTTTCCAAAAATGTTTACTTCTTTAATGCTTTCAGAGCGAATCCTCAGAATAACAATCATATGGGTGTCAGTATATTTGGTGGTAGCAACTTTTTGTTGGTGTCAATATGGTTGGTGTTGCTGCTGTTGCAGATGCAAGGTGTGCAGACCTCTAGAACAGATAGACGAAGCGAAAAAGTTTTTCGTCGAAAACCCACTTGGAGTTTACAAGGAAAATGAAGATACCATTCATAGGTACCAACCTACGTACTATGAGAAGTACGCCTTGAAGCAGTTGGAGAAGGAATTAGCAAGACTATGATTGTACGGGAGCATATCAAAAAAGTTTACTTTCGTATGTTTAGTTTGAAATAAATAAGCACCCCTTAAACACAGCATTTGCTTCTGATTTACACAGGGTGGGGCAAAATCACGCTTCAAATTATTATGTCATAATTAAAATATTCTAAATTTTGTGTTTGGTTGATAATGATGAATTCCATCGTCATATTCAGAGCAAGGTGTAATACTGTTTGTCTTAACTTTTGGGAGATGCTAAAGTGAGTAGTAATATTATGTTCAAAACTGAGTGTTTTCTCGTACTCGAATTTGAGAGTTAGGTGAGATTAAAATGCTGAGGTAACCCATTAAGTGAAAGCAGATTTTGAGAAACGGATACATTATAAATGATTCGAATGATAATACTCATGTTGCTGCACTATGTAGATTAACGAATGAAATCCTTTAGTCAATAATTTTGAGACTACAATTGGTGTGATGTAAACTTTCAGTCGTGACCAAAAATGAAACATAATACACAGGGTCGCATTTTAAGGAGGGTGTTTTATGTGACATTTATTCCTCAAGGGCTTCATCAAAAAGATTCAGGGTGTTTAAGTTTAAAAATAAAAAAACGCTTTTTTAATATCTTAAAAACTGTCAACTCTAATGAACTAAAATTTGGTATATGAATTTACCCAAGTATGTATTGATCTCCACCAATGATGTATTAGTTTTATTTAAGCTTTAAATCAACAAATCTTCAAAACTACTGAACTGAAGTACATTCATTTTATATCATTATAAAGGGAATTGAAAGACCTTTAAAATAAGGTGTTACTCGCCCCCCCTTTCCATTTAAGATTTTAGGGTTGGTGTCACCCCCGCCCAGTGCAGCCGTGTTAACGTGATTTTTTGCCAAACTTGTGTCCCTCTCGAAAACAAAATCGACGGGTCTGAGCGTTTTTCAAAAAAAAAACTTGCTGCCAGTAAATGCGTCTGTTTCGTTTTCGATGCGCCACCCTGTATATACATACAGGCCAAGCTTATAAAAAAAATACATTCATAATTTATATATTTTTTATTATAACAATTTATAAAATTGAGCGGTAATACAAATTTACACAATTATCACCAAGCTTTACTCTCCCTCGCCCTACTTAATGATGTTCTTTCACCCCTAAGTAGAACAAATTAATAAAGCGTCATGTATATTAATGTAATACACATACATACAGTACTCTCTAAACGTTTCACCCCAAATTGAAAACGTTATAGCTCCAATTTGTTGTAAACACTCAGGCCCGGTTTCAAAACGCCATAACAATATAAAATGGTTAAAAAAAACCATCGTTTCGTATTATTAGGTAGTTGTGAAACTGATCCAAAATATCACACATAAAACTTAAAATCTAACGACCCAACTAATATTACATTTAAAATTGAAGTTAAAATTAGTACGGGTATAACGATGTAGATGATAGAATGCAAAGTTTGGGGAAATATTGCTTCCAAGGAAAAATTCTGAAAAAAATGAAAATATAAAAAATCTTAATTGGGAATTTCTCACCCAGACAAAATTACATTTTTAAAGCTAAAACAGATTGTTAGATATTTCAAGCATGATGCAGTTTGTCCTCGTTTTTTCGCTCTTATGTTGGAAAAAGCGTATTTGAAATTCATACATTCTGTACTGTGGCCAATAGGACTTGATTTTCACTCCAGATACCAAAAAAATTCCAACTCCAGAGAATAACGGTTATTTTCATCACTTCTTTTGAATGGATACTTCTTCCTTTCCACAATACTTCCAAGAAACAAAAAACATATTCCAATCATCGTCTACATTCTAGGTCTACTCATAGGCGTACAGCTTATCCAACAGTGTGAAAAACAGTTCGTGTGGCAACCCCTTGGAAATCTGCTGAATGTGAGTATGGATGAAATTGTAGCTTTCCTCCTCGTAAGCAGTGTAAGTAGAAGGAAGGCCTAGAGTGACATACAAATCTCTGATTGTATCCACAGCTTCTTGACCTGGTTTTCCGTAATGCTTTTCCATGATCTTCCTTTGAGCAGCACTGGCTCTTTGTAACGCTACCACAGCTAACCAAGAGCATTTTCCTTCGTTTATATCTGAGCCCACTTGGCCTACTACCTCTGGCGCACCAAAGCAATTCATGAAGTCTTTCTGCAACAATAGAAAAAAATCGATGAAGATGGATTCGCGATATTTATCAGGAAGTTCTGGAAATCGCAAATACCGCATAAGCAACCGTTAACCTTATTTGATGAAGGTGCTAAACGGTCAAACTGGATTAAACACACACAACGACCAAAAAGTCAAATAAGGCTAACGTTTACCTATTGGAATACTTGTAAGACAGCCAAAACTCGATAACACATTTAGCAGTTATCAAAAGAATATTTATTGCAAATATCATGGATTTGAAAATGAGGTACATTGTTACGAGGGATGTCTTTTAAGTTTTGCATATAGAAACATAGTAGGCCGCGCGGATCGAACGTCAGTACTGAATCTTAACCTCACTGTTTAGTAAACTTAAATTCTAAGCTTCACAACAATACGTGCAGTATTCTCACTACAGTGAATTTTTAAGTGTCACCAAGTCATTAGAAAAATGGAACTCAACCGAGAACATTTTCGCGCCATAATTTATTACAACAGAGACAATTATCGTAACATGAACCCGAAAATTAAAAACAGACTGCGTGGTCAAAGGTTCCAGTCACCAGAAGAAGCAGTTGACGCATTCAAAAATGCCGTTTTGGATCTGCCAGCAAACGACTGAAATAAGTGCTTCGAAAATTGGTTCGAGCGCATGCAGATGTGTATTAATCTTCGTGGAGAATACTTCTAAAAACAATAGTCATTTAAAACTACCTACTATGTTGTTTTATTTCCATATGCAAAACTTAAAACACATCCCTCGTATATGTTTGTTTATGTTAGAAATATTTTGTAATCTCTAACCAGCTCATAAATATGATCAAACTACAAATTATGTACATTTTTCTGAAATTTGTAGTGACTCTAGTGGAATATCTAAACCTCACTAGCAGATCAACCTAAACAAGTATACAATTACGTATGTCAGCAATAAATAGTGTAATGTTGTGATTCGGTATGATATTCCGAAAATACCTCAATATAATGCTATTTGTTTTATCAATTATGTCATAACTATAAGTGATACTGATGATGATACTCATATAAATTTTAGGGATTAAATTGCAATTGTATATACGTAGAAATTGTAACAGTGTTTGAAAATAGAATCTTCTTAAAACTTATTTTTTTTTTAAATATGGGTACATTCGTTTTCTTATGAAATTTTAAAGTTTTTGCTTTAAGATGTATAAATTAATTGAATCATTTTTTTTTTCATTTTTTAAGATAGTCAGCATAAATATTCAAACATTTTTCATGTCGTCATCAAAGAATGCTGGCGCCGTTAAATCGGTAATTGCATGTCATCATTTTGAAAACGCTGTCCACAAATTCTTAAAGTTTTGGAAAAAGACGAAAGTCTGATGGTGCCAAGTCAGGGTTGTATAGTGGATGATCCAGTAATTGGAAACAAACTTGACCAGTTGCGTCTGTGTTCTTGCAGCAACGCAAGGCTGAGCGTTGTCATGAACGGTTTTGAATAGCAGAATAGCGCGCCTGATTCAACAAGCTACTAGTGAATTTCAGCAGTAGGAACTTTTTTACCTTTAAAACAGGTTTGTGGCCAAGGTCGAACCACACGATGCGTAATTAGTTTGCACTTGGTCCAAATGCCACCATCCCAAAATTACATACATAAAGCTTGGGGATTGGACCAAATATCTTCTTGCATCACACTAAAAGGCGATAATGGAAAAGTAATATTTCAAAAACTCACCTGAATGTGGAAAAACTGTCCCATCTCCAACAGGATAGTTTTGGCTTGCCTGTGCTGTTCAGGATCATCTTTGTTAGCCAGATACATTGCTGCGGCGACTGGCAATTGGAAACTATAGTACCCGGTACGGTACTTCATGATCAAATTATAGTTCTTCATCGTGAACTTCTTCAGGTCCGGATTACCCCCGTTGGTGATGGTAGTCTCAAGCGATTTGCCCATTGCGTTCTTCATGGACACATCTTGGAATAATTGTTGCAACTGGGTAAACATCGGGTGTGTAGACAGATACTTTTTCAGAACCGAGTAGACACTTAATTCTAGCAAAAGGCTATCCGCGACAGCTTTCAAGCCTACATCTTCTTGTTTGTACCAACACGGGGCATTTCTACGCAGTTCAGATTTGTCGATAACATCGTCCATGATCATATCGAACGATTTCAACTGCAACAAAAAATTGATAGGTGATATTGGGTTTTGTTTCGTCATACTTCCCTCTTATGTGTAAGAATGCTACACTACATGCTACACGGTCTTCCGTCTATGCAAATACGAGATATCACATAGATCACCTGCTAATGAGTTGAAGAATGCAATACACAACAACGTTCACTGGTGGGTAAGTCTGCGTTAAGCCATGTACAGATATGTAAGAACACCGCGAACATTGCAACGAGCATCACCACAAACCGAACGACGTCGTGCAACCACATCGCGTAACAAAATGACGGTCCAACTTTGATGTTTGTCGTTCAGTGAAAGACGAATACTAACTGAAATGGATATAGCAGTAGCAGCAGCTGCCTATATTTATATTCACTACGAATTATGCAAAAACAAGTGAAGACGTCCGAGATGATGGTGGCAAACGCAGTTACATACCAATAGATTGCAGCAATTTGATAATGGAATTGTTATTTTCCGTTTACGTAAGCCAGCTGTTGTTCCCATTAAGGATGCTATCTGCTTCCAGACATCATTTTTTTTAATTTATTGTAATGCAGGGTATGTTTTGCATCCCACAACAATTCCAATGCTCTGTAATGCTTTATAACCACTCCGACCATTCCATCTTCTCTTCACGGGGTCTATCCATGTACAGAGCTGAGCGGTAACGCTAATCAGGTTCGCGACGGCGTTCTTTTCACCGTCTAAACTAGCGCGGCGCGGTTCGTCGCGTGGTTCGGTTCGCGGTGTTGTTACATATCTGTACATGGCTTTAGAGTGTTTGGTGTTTGAATTTTGTTTTATACTGAAGCAGTTGCGAACACCGAGATTTCGCAGCTGTTATCAAGAAATAAAGGATATTTTGTTGATCAAATTCATGTACCTTCAAAGTTCAGTGGAACTTGAAAAACTCCCGATGTGAATTATTTAACGATGTCGACAGAGTTCGGCAGAGTTTGAATGAGCTAACAGGAGCAAAGTCAAATGGTATCTCGGTAAACGAGAGGCTTTTGTTATTTGAACTACAGTAATGTATCCAGGTGATAGATTCGAAGTCGCTACCAACCTTCCCTCCAAATCAACCGCAGTGATCGGACCGCTGAAAGCTTGCATGCAAAGTGCTATCATCCGAAAATCCGACGAACAAAAGCAATGTCGGAGATCGTTAATCTGCGACAGAAACAACGTTGGAGTCAAAATTCCTGAAGAACATCCACGTTGACATTGTGGGAGAAGAGCTAGTACAGCCATCTTGGGAGTCAATTCTTGAGCGCATTTATTAAAGAATGTTCTCTGGATGTCTATCATTGAAAACGAGAAAATAGAGCTGAAAAAATTTGGACGTGGTCCTCTTCCTTGGGGAACGATCCCAAATTCCGACATTGATCAAACAATTTTGTAAAAGCATCCATTTCCGGAAAAATCTTGGGTTCATAAATGATATTACTAAACGTTTTCATCACAAAATTAACCCATAAATACTAATTTAATATAATATAAAATAAATAACCAAATAACTGAATAAGTTTAGACATCTCCAGCTTTGTGAATTAGTGTCAATCAAGAATCTTATAGATTGAAAATTAGCGTTGAAAAATAAACATTTTGGGATAATTCTGGACCAAATGATGCCAGCCATTGGTGTTTATCGCTTCCCCTTTGTTTGCTAAAAACTCCATTTCCCACAAATCTCATTTTTCGGGCCGCAAAATGAAACCACATATGCTACTGACGTCTCGGCCACCTCGAATAACTTTTTCCAATTAAAAAATGACAATGGCAATCTATTTCATATTGTCGTCTAGATGATACTTCATTTTTATTGTCCCCTTCGTTTGTCCCTACCCTGTAGTTGCGCCACTGCATCTTGCCAGTTCGCAGAAACGCAGTACATCTTTCACACATCATTATGTAAAAATGAAAAACAAAATCAGCTTATCTCGTTACGCAAATGTTCATCGTAAGACGCCCACCGAATTCAGTCCTTCTCATCCAATTATTACTCCAAATCCTGTTAGCCTTTGGAAAGAAACCTTTCCGGTGTCTATAAATACTCCTGGCGACTGTGAACGGACACTTCAGGTGGAAGTACTGAGTACGCGACCGCCCGATATTCGCAGCTTCCTTGAAAAACAACTCCCCGGTAAGGCGCTCCGTGAGCTCGACTTCTCTCATCAATGGTGGTAGCCGTAAAAGTTTTTAAGAAAACAACACCGAATGGTAAAGTCACGGTATATCTGAGCAAGAGGGACTTCATTGACCATCTGAGTCACACCGATCCCGTTGACGGAGTTATCGTCGTCGAGGATGGATACTTGCAAGGTACGAAACGTTCGAGATATTATGAGTAGTATTTATTCTAATACTAATTTTTCTACTTTATTATAAACACGCCAAGCAAGAATACAAAAAAACAAGAGTTGCTCCACTGGGCACACATTAAAAACTGAAGCCTCATTGCATTGATTTGTTTCACCTTTTGTTAAATTTTCTAAAATAGATGGATTTTGAAAAAAATCCAAAATTAAAATCTTCGAGCTTTTAGAAAACAATCAAGTACTACAATAGAAAAAATGCTGAAAAGTCCAAAATACATAAAAATTGCTGTGAATTGTTATGATTTCGGTTTCATTCATATTCGTCATTCATCTTAAACACTTTGTTTATTAGCTTTGCCGAAAACAAACTGTAGTACTTTCCACGGATGTGACAACAGTAATACATGGTCATTACAAGTAGCCGCCACGCTTACGAACAATTATAATTATGTTGAAATCTTATTGAATGTTATTACCCGTATGTATACTAAGTAACATATAAATCCGAACACCCAGTTTAAATGGTTTTATTTTAATAAAATTTTGTATAAGTACTTAATGAAGCATAATAAGTAAATGATAAAAAATTCAAAATGATTGCACTGCTTTAAAGCCCTTTGACCTTTAATAATGTGTGGATGCACCCTGATGTGCTACGCATTCTCCAACGCGCCTAGACATGCTTCTGATCAGGTGGGCAATGTCCTCCTGTGGTATCTCATTCCAGGCAACCACCAACTCCTCTCGAACTGCTTCTAGAGTCTGAGGACGAGCAATCTCCTACCCATCATATCCCACACGTGCTCAATTGGGGATACTATAAGTCGGGAGATCTTGGTGGCCATGGTAACAATGTGACATAATTATGTTGAAAGAAGTCTATTGTGACTCTTGCAACATGTGGTCGGGCATTATCTTGTTGGAAAGTTGGATCTGCCAGGGTGTCAAGATAGGGTGAAAGATGGGGTTCTAGAACTTCGTGGATATAACGCTGCGCGTTCATGTTACCTCTGATGAAGATTAAAGGTGACCTGGAACCATAAGCTATAGCACCCCAAACCATAACTCCAACAGTGTGATGAACATGTCTTTCAACAAAAAACTGTGGATTCCTCCTTTCACCACGTCGCCTTCTAACCCTGGCACGACCATCGTGCATGTCTAAACAAAATCGAGACTCGTCACTAAAGACAATACTGTTCCATTCCTGATCCCAGAGTGACCGTTGTCTGCACCACTCAAGGCGATTACGTCGGTGTTCTCGAGTTAAAGGGAGGACCCAGTGTGGCCGGTATGAAAACAAGCCAAAACTTCTCATTCGTCGGTAAACACTTCGCATGCCAATAGGTCTTCCGTGTTCTGCAAACCATTCATTTGCAATGGACCTGGTAATGGAGAAACGGTCCCTTAAGGCCAATAATCTTAGGTGGCGATCTTCACGGTCTGCTGTTCTACGGCGGCGTCCAGTGCCCCTTGCTCTTTGCGTACGGCCTTCTCGAAGCCATGCCTGACAACACCTAACCACAGTGTCTACACTTCTTTGCACTCTAACTGCAATTGCCCGAAAAGAAACTCCAGCTTCCCGAAGTCCCACTATACGGCCCCTATCAAACTCACTAAGTTGACGAAATCGTACAGGTCTCCGTACTCTAGGCATCGTAACCGATCGTAAAGGATGTCAAGAACCAAAATCCGCCAACGTTGATTCTTTACTGCGGCTGAAATATTCATTTTTAGAGCGTTAGTGAATTAAAAAAAACCAGTATAAAAACCGGAATGTCCAACTGATAAGGCTGAAAATTGTTTCACTTGTTATTTACAGTAAGATAAATGCATTCACCAACTTTTATTAAAATAAAACCATTTAAACTGGGTGTTCGGATTCATATGTCACTTAGTATATAAAACTTTCACTGAATAAACAGATTTATATCACTGACAACCAATGTCTAGGTGAAGAAGTGTTCACGCAATTCACCACACATTAATTTTGTTGTGATTGTTCTGCCTAAACAATCTCACAATTTTCCAAGAGCACATTTGAGCATATTTTAAGACACTAATTAGTTAGAAACATTAGCAAAGTTTCCTAATAGCAGTTATAATTTCCTTATTTTACTGCATTGATTCTATGGTCGTGACTCCTATGGTCGTGACTCCTATGGTCGTGATTCCTATGGTCGTGACTCCTATGGTCGTGACTCCTATGGTCGTGACTCCTATGGTCGTGACTCCTCTGGCTGTGACTATTTTGGACCTTTGCTCGTTTAACTTCAAAATCTACCATTATGAGCAAAACCAAATACGAATAATTCACTCAAATATTGTGACCACGGTTGTGACGTGGTTTGCTCGACCGAATCCAAGAAATGCACATACGAACCAAATACACGAAAACATATTGTTGCTAACCTGAAGCAAAAGTTCGTGCTGCCGAAGTCAAATAGTAAAATAAGCATAGAAAATAAATTACTATAAAGTGACAGAAATCTCACAAACCACGGTGGGTGACTTTGATCTCTATGTGATTTAACTTATATGTTAACAGGGTAATAGTTACATAATATTATTACATTTTATAGAATAGAGTGATCGTTTTTATACAGGGTGTTCCTTGATTAAATGGTAATATTTGAGAGTGCGACTTTTGGATTCATTTTAAGAAGAAAACTTCATAAAAACGTATCTCCTTAACGTCTTAACATTTGAGATACAGGGTGATAAAGGTTTGAAAATAAATAATTCATTATTAATATATATAAATATCACTCTAGATATTCTAATCAAATTCGGCGAGAAAAGTCAGAAAACTTTAGCATCCTGAAGTAATCCCAAAAATCACCCCCTTAAACGTTAACATTCAATTAACAAACACCTTGTAATGCATATCTAATTTGAGAAGCAAATTACAAATCAAGGTGTCATTTGGCAGAAAGTTTTTTTGTCTGAAAATAAGAATCTCGCATGCACAGTTGTGATAGAGTATTAAAATGATTCATACTCGTGTTTGTTTTCAGGTCGTAGAATATTCGGCCAGCTCCTCACCGTCTACCGCTATGGGCGTGAGGAGGATGAGGTCATGGGCGTCAAGTTCAGCAAGGAAATGGTTGTCGCCAGCGATCAACTAGTTCCATGCAAGAAAGGGGAGAAGGAACCACTCACTCCAATCCAGGAAAAGTTGATGAAGAAAGTGGGTCCCAATGCCTTCCCTTTTACCTTCAACTTCCCTGACATGTCTCCATGCTCTGTGACTCTTCAACCAGGTAAAACAACAATCCAATCGACTAGATAGAGTGGTGCATTCCAGAAAATTCCGAATGTTAGGGAAAATTTGACAAATTTGGCAACCGTGCACAGAAAGAACAGTCAACCAGGAATTGAGTTCAGAAATACAGCAGAATTTTAGCCGAAATTTTGGCAAAATTATGATCTAGAGATAATGGGATGTATTATAAAATTTTCATGATGGATTAAAACTGGTTATCATCAAAAAAAGCCTTGAACATCCATTCTTGGATATAGGCCTTACTGTTTCTCATTGTGAGCGATTTTCAATGTACGAGTTTGGACATATTTTGAGAATACAAAAGTAAAGAAACGAGAACAAATGACATAAACGTAGAAAAGGACCATCTTAAACATTGCTGTACAATTCTTGTGAATTCGTCAAACAGCGACACATTTTTAACACCTCAAGATTTTTATAGCCCCAACAGGCCAATATCTTCGCTGTGAAGACCGAGACTGTCATAAACTCATCATCGGCTCAATCTCTCTACGTGCAGTACCATTTCTTCTTTTCCGCATTCTTCTTCCATTAGGTCCTTCATACAAGACCGTATCTCCTCTTACAGGTGAGGATGACGATGGTAAACCGCTTGGTGTGGAATATTTCGTAAAGTGCTATGTGGGGTCCAACGAGGATGACAAGGGACACAAGAGAAGCACCGTACAGTTGGCTATCAAGAAACTGCAGTTTGCTCCAGCCTCAAGGTCAGTACTCATAGAAACTATATTTAAGTATCGGAATCAAACACGATCTCTGTGGAACGCCCGTCTTATAGGGTGGGACAAAGAAGGAAAGACCCATCACCTTCGAAGGGTCGTGAATAGTAGAAATGTAGCCCTATGATAAAAATATCTTCCTAAATGTCAATTTTTGGGACCTAGGTCTGTGAGCAGGCTGCCAAGCTCTTTGGTATCCAAGGGATTCACTTTTTCGTCGGGCAAGATCAACTTGGAGGTGACACTGGACAAGGACGTTTACTACCACGGGGAGAAAATCGGCGCTAACTTGATGATTAGCAATAACTCGAGGAAACAAGTGAGGAACATAAAGGTGTATGTCGTTCAACATTGCGAGGTACGTTGGAAAGGTCACGGGTTCGAATCCGTGTATTTGCAAGCATGCATAATAGCAAAACCTAGATGAATGATAAAAAACAAACTGTCTGGCTTTTAAATGCCACTTTCACCACGGTTGTTTTTGTTTTGTATTTCAACGCAAAATAAAATTAAGCGTGAAGACAAGTGCAAAATAACAAAAAACTTAATCGATTTATTACGGTATGTAACCCGTAAGCCGTGCGCGAATAATTTAAAAAGAACGCTGTCACTTGATGCTCGAAGAATTCATTTCCGTTGAATAATAGTAATTCACTTGACGATATCAGAGCAAACGCGTGAGTTGTATAACGTTACTATTTTTAGTTTTACAATAAATGTATAGCTATAGTAGCTGCTGATGTCTGTACACAAACTCGCAGAAGTACTTTTAGTATTTTTCATAAAACTAAGAAAATTCATCAATTCAGATCAAATTTTTTCAATGTATCTGTAGCAATGTTCTTTTTTTGCAAACAATGCACAAAAAAACAAATACAGCTAGAATCAGCTGTGAATGATTTGATGGTAATTTTTAGTGTTAGAAACTAAAAATCAAGCTCTTTTCCACCTAAAATAATTGAACTCGCATTTTTAGTAATATTCATTTTACTTTGCATATATTACTAAAAGTACGATTAATTTGAAATGCATGTTCAAAAAATATGCTACAATGCAGCATTGTTGGTTAATCAGCTAGCTACATAAAGTGAGTAATTGCTATAGATGCTCTATTTAACCTATTTAACGCCAAGAGACTTGTCTCAATAATTCTTCATATTATCCAGGTGAACACGATCTCCCTGCATTTAGCTTAAACTTCAAATATCTCTTTTTTAACAAATCTATTTCCTTGTAGGTGACCATGGTCAACGCGCAGTTCTCCAAATACGTGGCGAGCCTAGAAACCAGAGAGGGCTGCCCCATAACACCTGGAGCAAGTTTCACCAAAGTGGTGTACCTTGTACCATTGGCATCTAGCAACAGAGATCGACGAGGAGTAGCCTTGGATGGCAGATTGAAGGACGATGATGCCAACTTAGCCAGCTCCACTTTGGTGCCCGAAGGAAAATGCCCCATCGATGCCATTGGTAAGATTATACCATAATAAACAATACAGAAATACACCCTTATTACGTAACTGCTATTATCAGATTGCAATTATTTATGTCAAAATGCGATTTGTATTGCAAGTTTGCGATTTTGACGCTTGCACTAGCTGCGTGTATTTCTTCATCAGCACTGAACCTGTTCACATGCCAGTTGTTGCGCAAACAAGCACTTCGATCTTTATTCTCGGTCATATCGCAGCTTGTTCCAAAATATCCTACGAGACTGCAACCCACAAAGCATGCCAGCGGAATACGTGTTGTAGCAGCTAAGGCAAATATCAGCAAAACGGCTGTTGCGTCATTCCCCCATAGATGGCGCTCACGTCATGTGTGTCATCTGAACGGCATAGTACCTAGTAGTCTAAGACCCGAATCAGAAATGACCTTCACCCATCTATTTAATGGATCAAAAGTATTTTTTATATCAAATTTTATTTTGTAAAAAACTCCTGGCAAGACTATAATTAATTAAAAATTGAAAAACTACTTTTTATCAACAAAATAGTAATATTCTAACAGCCTGCATAGTGCGGTAGGTCACAGTTTGAATTCTGTCACTGGAAGTGTTTGGATCTATCCCCGAGGCATCCTTAAAAGAGGCTTGTCAAAAGACTAATTCCTCCTTTCATTTGAAAGAAAAACAACTTCAACCCTTTTTCAATCTCCTACTCTAACCTCAATCTTTCAGGTATCGTGATCTCCTACTCGATACGTGTCAAACTGAACTGCGGTACCTTGGGTGGAGAATTGGTCACCGACGTGCCTTTCAAGCTCCTCCACCCAGCACCTGGATCAGTGGAAAAGGAACGCGCTCATGCTGTCAAGAAGATGAAATCCGTGGACAAGTCCAGGTACGAACAAAGTTTCGCTAATGACGACGAAGACAATATCGTTTTTGAGGAGTTTGCCAGATTCAGAATGTCTAGGGATGAACTCGAGTAAATTTTATGTGCAAGATGGGAATTTGCGAAATTGGGCAACGAGAATTGATACGTCAGACAGAAAACATCAACCGAAAGGTTTATTATTGCTGATTTTAGAGGAATTATCATTATTGCTGATTCTCGTTTGTCCAATTTCAAAATTTCTCCAGACCAGTTCAGGGAAGCTGGGCAGGTTACTGGTTATAGTCACCACTTTGATTGTAAATTACAAGGGGATACATTTTTATACCCAACATCTGATATTCACCCCTTCTGGCACTGAGACTGACTTCCACCGTTCAAATTATCTGATTCTACTAGATACCTGCACAGCATTTCTGATTTTTTTAATATAGGATTTGTTCGGTCAAGTTGATGAGACAAAACGAGACATATTTTGCTTTAAACTTAAATTTGCAGAGAAAAACGCCAAAAAAAATTATAAAATAGATTAGAAAAATGGAAAAATTTTGAAGAAAGCTTTGGTTGCTCCGCCACAAGTTTTCCAATCTACCGTTATTTATAAGGGACATCAGGTTGTTAACAAAAACTTTCATGACTATATCGAACTCTGCTTCTAATTACTCCTGATCTATTGTACTCTTTTAGTTGATAGGATATATTATTTATGCATGCATACAATAAAATGATGGTTTACAGATCAACAGTGGCTTTATTTTTCCTTTTATTTGTAATCAATAAATTATTACTACATTTTCAGATTTCGTATAGTAACGCAGCAGAAGAACTACAAACTACAATTCTAGTTCTAGAATCATTAATAAATGGTACCGATATCGATCAGCATAACCAATAAAGAAGACGAGATATAAGCAAAAAGCAGTTTGCCAAGGATGTGCCATCTTATCTGGAGGAATTTCAAATAGTTTCTATAGACTACAAAGCTACAACTATCGGTGGTCTAATTCTAATAACCCGCATCTTCAAAAAATTCAAATGTTACTTTTTCGCGTCACAATTTTATTTTTTCGCGCCATTCAGTTGTACGTTTATTTTTATTCTACTAAGTTAATAACGGTTTTGTTTAGTGTTAAATGTTACCTCTTCTAATATTGAATCATATTTAGCACCTTACAAAATAAAACACCCTCTCCTGAAGAATACCGATCCATACAATTACGGGGTATTAGAATTAGACCATCGAAAATAACGAGCTGTTTTTTCAGTACTCTAAACAAAATTTGTCATGGTTATATTTGGTTATTTGTCTTCACGCCCTTACGCACGTTGAGTATATATTTACAAATAAACATATACAGGGTGTTTCTTAATGATATGCGAATATTTAAGGTTGTGAATCTACATGAACAATTAATGTTAGTTTGGTTTATAAACTATGGTCCAAAAGCGTTTCCTTACAAAAACTCGGGGTGTTGAAGTTGTAGGAAAAAAAAATGGAGATTAATTAATATTTTCACAACCGCTTCAGACATTCCACTGATACTTAGTACGTAGTGAAAGTTAATAAAGTTGCATAGTTTTCAAAATAAAAGCCGTTCTATTGTCTAACTTGCAAAATTATTATTAATTTAATTGGAAAAATTAAACACATTAGGGGTAATGAACAACACCAACTGACAACATAAACATAACATTAGAACCAACGAAATTATTACAAAAATTGTTGTTAGTATGCATGCTTCCGCCTTTCTTCTCATGGAATTGCGCACTCGTTGAGATATCCCTGGAGTGTTTTTAATTCTATCACAAGCTGCAACTATTCTTTCTCTTAATTCCTCTACACTGTTAATGGGACTTGTGTACACTAGTGTCTTAAGATAGACCCACAAAAAGAAATCTAAACTGTTGAGGTCTGGGGACCTTGGTGGCCATTTTTGGGGCCCACCGCGGCCAATCCAACGATTTGGATAAACAGTTTGTAAATAATTACGAACCGCTACACTGAAATGCGCTGGTGCACCATTATGCATGTACCACATATTGTTCCTTATCATGAAGCAGCAAAGGCAAGGTTGAAGAAAATTGAGGTAAGTCTGTCCGTCAAGTCATCACGGCAAGAAGAATGGGCCAATAAAGTGGTTGTCATTAATTCCTGACCATACGTTAACCGAAAATTGGTGTTTGAAATGGGTTTCGGTTACGGCATAGGTATTTTCTTCTGCCCACAAATGATTTTTGTGCTGCACTGCTTCCTCAATTTCACTTAGAGAGCTACCTTCAGATGTTCCTTTTCGGACAGAACCAGTTTCAACAAGACGACGATGAATATTGGAAAAGATTCTACTATCTGGGAAAGCACGATCGGGATATCTCTGGTAATAAATCCGTCTCACCATTACCGTCGGCAAGGCCATACACGTAATGCATTTCCGCCATTTCTGCATTTGAATAATTCACCATTATTAACAAGAAAAAACTAAATAATGAAAAAGATGTCACAGCGAACAGATTTGAATAACAGGTACTTCTCAGATGTCAAAAGCCAGTGACATATTCCAGAGCAACAAGATATTTATTGCTAAATTGCATTCTTCAATTATTACATTATTTTTCTCGGACTATAGAACGGTTTTTATTTTTTTATTAAAAAAATGTCGCATCGAAGGAAAACAATTCTAGAGATCATTTGTTTTAAATTGAACGGGGAATTCAAAAATAATTTTTATTTGGCAAAAAACCATTGGCGTACCATTTTTTTCTTAAAAAATATCGAAGTCAATACCCATACGCACGCCACTGTTAAAGCTAAAAATTATTTTTGTATTGAAAAATATGCCACTTTATTAACTTTCACGACGTGCTAAATATCAGTGAAATATCTGAAGCGGTTCTGAAAATATTAATTAATTTCCATTTTTTTTCCTAAAACTTCAACGCCCCGAGTTAATTTTTTATGTATATTCACAACCTTAAATATTCGCATATCATTAAGGAACACCCTGTATATGATTTTCTCTCATGAGAAAAATGATGCAGATACTCCTTTTTCATAATTGCTGTCATCTGAGTGGCGTCATTTTACATCGACTTCCTCTTATTAAAAAACTAGATTAGTAACAGAACAAACCTATCAGGTTATTATGCACTTTTCTAATAATCGTGAAGCGTGTCGATGGAAATTTTTCAATGTGATGGCGCCGGGTATCAAAAAATATTCCGTGACCTTTCAAGTGGCGTCAAACAACATTTGATTCTTTTCAACACGCTGTCAGCGTGTGCTTGATTTCACATGCAAATAAAAATGCATATATGTATTATCTCCCAATGCACGCCGTTTTAATTCAAACATGTGCATAAAAAGTGTGATCACGATATTTTCGCATGGTCTCATGCCCTGATTTGTGGAGGAACCAGAGGTTAAATGTGAATATAAATAGTAGCATAATGAATGTTTGCTTCGGAATCATCGCGATAAAGTAATTATAAATATTTTCTCTGGATTTACGTAAAAGGAAGAACAATGACGATATTTTTTGGTTGAAAGAACTGATATGGGTATTAGCGCATGAGACTATGATAGCATTGTATGGGTATCTTTATCGTGCTTCTTAAATGATGACTGCTAGTTGATCTTGAATTAATGGTTTCAGTGACAATCTTGATAATTAACAAGTAACGAGCAAAGCAAATCATGACATATAAAATGCATCTAACGCCAAAAGCTCAGCTCAGCTAATGCAGGCAGATAATTGGTTGAAAACATTTTCTCTGTACGCAATTTTGGCAAAAAAAAAATGTGTATTCTTTTGTCGCTCAGGTAATGTTATTGTTTACCAGCTACGACACTTCTTGTACCCTGACATAAGAGCGTATACTAGAGTGAAAAAAGCATTTCAGATTTGTCGAAAATTGAAATTATGGGTTTTGAATACGAATCTGAATCAACTTTCTAACATTCTAGTACGTTTACAATTATTACAGCTGGCCAAATAATATAATGAATATAATTGGAGACAAAGTACTGCGACAATTTCTTTTAGATAATCGAGGACAACTGTCATACGCCCTGGTATTATGTGCTCGAGGAAAAGGTAGTAAAACAGATAATAATTTTGATTCCACAAAATGTATTTACCTTCGCAGAATATTAATTCGTTATTTCACACCTGAATAACTGCGGACCTGATGTCACCCTGTCTGATTATTTATATTCAATAACTTATATTGCCCTAGAAGTCGGAATTGCTACATCGCCTAGGCATCGTTGACCTCTTCTCAGCTGTTCTGGTAAAAATTCGTCATGTGGGCGATCGCGAGCAGTGGCTACTGTACGAAATATTCCTTTCTGTCTTAAGGACAAACGTAGGTGAAATGATGATATGCAAAATATGTCTAACAGGCGTAAGGAATTACTGCCGCTAAAACATCGATCCATCCCTCTACCCCCATCACTCAATTTTTTACCCCAGAAATTTTTTTCAAAAGGGAGGATTAGCGGACAGATAGACCGACTGATTTTTTTGCATGGGAAGTAACAATGGTTTCTTCTTCTTTATGAACATATTGCGCTCTAAGTCATTTTCTAAAATTTACACTGAATTTTATACTTTTTTATGTTGGTACTGTTGAACGTATGAACAACCATATTGTATCTTTATGGCGCAATAAAATGAATCGCTGAACTATCATTAATCTTTATGGTCACATAGAAATTGATTTCAGATATATTGTTGCAAAAATTGCCGGGTGATGGCCTTCACCATATAAACTACACATGTATAGAATGATTTTGTTGCCGTTACAACTAGATACTGATGCCTTTTGTCTATACACGCGGTCTTATTAAGAGCACTTTTTCACCAGTGACCCGGAAGATTTTCTTAAGTAATATCATAAGGGCATCTATTTTTCCGAAAAAAATGGTATGTTACTAGACTATTTCCTGAGTAACATAATTATTATTCTGCATACACATAGCTTACAAGATTTATTGACATAAATAAGAAATTGTTTAGCGTCGTTCTGGTATCCTAGTAGACCATAATTACTTGTTATCAAAGGTAGTGTAATTTTTGGACAAAAACTGTCAATTTTTGCCGCGGGTAAACTCAAAAAAACTACTGACAGGTGATGTCATACAATTTTTCCACCTAGAAACCATTTGTAATTCAAAATTGAGCGTTTGTGATTGGTAGAAATTAAGACGACGGAAATAGGCACATTGCTAGGCAGCTAGTACTCTCCACTCTCTGGAGGAATGGCCCTAGTGGGTTCATTATGTATAATCAAAATGCATTCATTCCAAATTATATGACAAGTCAGAAATAATTGTCAGTCTCTTACTTTTCTTGTTCACAGGACGTTCTAAGATTGGTATAGGCCTTCCAAGATTATACAGAGTCCGTGAAAAATGTAAATGGGATTTTCAAGAGATACCAATAGTACATACGCTTTCTGATTGTTAGGTGCTTGTAACGTACGTGATCTGACTTTTTAGGCTCCTCATTACTCATTACGTATGCTTGAGGTGTACGATTAAAACCAATCAACAACGCTGGCCATAATATTATGCGAACTGTGAAAAGATATGTCTAAAAATAAAGCTATACACTTATTTATAAAATCAATTTGATGACCCACTCTGCGAGCGAGATAAAATGTAATTAAAACAATTTGAAAAGATTATTGTTAATCGTTATTTTTATGCTATATCTAAAGCACAACGCAATTTCTCAATTAATAAACTGTGTTGTAGGAAATAACAAACGATATCCTTGAACCCAAAAAATGCGCGCAAATTTGTCTAGTGGATTATCTACTTTCGTTACAGCTCACCTATTAAATAATAAGTTTGTTTTCAGGTTGAAAGATAACAACAAAACGTAAGAGCGCAGTAAATGTTGTCTCACAACCTTTTGCAGAATACAAGATCAAGGCGAATAGTAAAATTACAAATGCAAATTCATAATGAAATTGCAAATAGTTATTAATAACACAAGATTATCGTCTATAACGAATATTTTGATCGTCAGATCAAGAAAGCGATATGATCGCGAATAAACATATTAAGGGCTAAAACACGACGGGATATGGCGGGATAAATCATGGAAAAATGGTGACAAAAAGGTTGATTGTGCACTTTCCACGGAAAGAAATGTACGAACATGTATTAACAGCATCAAATCAAGCCCAAACGATTAGTCTATGGTCCCCAGCCATACGACAACCTTACGATTTAAAAATTTCTCCCCTGCCCTACCGACAGTACCGACCATCTGGCAACGTTGCTATGACTAACCTCGCCACGGCAGCTACTCACCAATCAGACCGCCATACAAGTATATATACAAGTATATCCAGCGATATGTTAGCAATATTACTCTGTCAATCTACTATAAGTTTTAAGGGTAAATGTACAGAGATGTGTGTGATGTGTGAAATATGCCTAATAGGCGCGTAGAATTACCGGGGTTGGAAGCATATGACCATCAACATACAACCTCCAACCCAAAATTTTTTTGAACAAGATCGTGAGCCTCTAAAACGCCAAAAACTGAATTTTGAGTAACTTTGTTTCTTTTCCATTTTTTTGCTTCTATCTCCACCGCCACCATAACAATTTTCAAAAACAAGAAAGCTTTTCCATTACTGTCATGGTAGTACTGATGTGTGAAAATTTGATCAAAATTCGAACGGTACTTTCCAAGCTATAGACGGGCCAAGGATTAGCAGATAGACAGACAAACCGACTGACATGACAAGGTCGTCCGTGATTTACATGTCATAGTTTCTTCGCCAGTGGGCGTGGGAAGTAAAAAGCATTTCCTCCCTGTAGCGCAAACAGACGCCGAGAATTCCTTGGTTGTTTTTGAACTCAGTCACTATTTTTGGCAATCTACCGGTTCGTAGAGCTGTGTGATCTTGATAGCTGCTAAATTATCTTCAAGTTTCTTGTATTGTGATAATAATACTCGTGACTGGACTATATCTACACAGACGGCAAACAGCGGAAGTGTCAGAATAAGTTATTTTTCAACTTAACCTGATCAATCTAAGACGAAACGGAAAGCTACTAATCGGAAAGTTTATTGTCCAAAAATAATGATAATATGGTAATATATGAATATAAAAACGTGTACAGACCAAGAATGGTAAATACACAGAAAATCCACAGAAGCAAGCTTGTATAATTCACCGTCAAAAAATGTGCTTTTCCATTCCTATGGGATAAACTCAGAAGCATTTCGCCGAGCCTCACAAGAATAGCAAACATCGACTGAATAAATAAACGTGCGTGTTAAGTGAGATGTAAATAAAAACATTTACGCGCTATATTTAGAAAGTACGATTGATATCCGCATCTGCTGTGAAGTAAACATACTTGAAAAGAATGTAAGTTAAGGACCAACACATAATAGGAATCGGTCTCATCGTTTGTACTAAATACACATAAATACACAACATTGAACTGCTGGATTTTTATGGGTTGCTGAACATTGTTCAGTAAGTACCATTTAATTTGTAGTGCACATATGATAAATATACTAAGTGACATATAAATCCGAACACCCAGTTTAAATGGTTTTATTTTAATAAAAGTTGGTATTTATCTTACTGTAAATAACAAGTGAAAAAATTTTCAGCCTTATCAGTTGGACATTCCGGTTTTTAAACTGCTTTTTTTTAATTCACTAACGCTCTAAAAATGAATATTTCAGCCGCAGTAAAGAATCAACGTTGGCGGATTTTGGTTCTTGACATCCTTTACGATCGGTTACGATGCCTAGAGTACGGAGACCTGTACGATTTCGTCAACTTGTGTGTTTGATAGGGGCCGTATAGTGGGACTTCGGGAAGCTGGACTTTCTTTTCGGCCAATTGCAGTTAGAGTGCAAAGAAGTGTAGACACTGTGGTTAGGTGTTGTCAGGCATGGCTTCGAGAAGGACGTACGCAAAGAGCAAGGGGCACTGGACGCCGCAGTAGAACAACAGACCGTGAAGATCGCCGCCTAAGATTATTGGCCTTAAGGGACCGTTTCTCCACTACCAGGTCCATTGCAAATGAATGGTTTGCAGAACACGGAAGACCTATTGGCATGCGAAGTGTTTACCGACGAATGAGAAGCTTTGGCTTGTTTTCATACCGGCCACACTGGGTCCTCCCTTTAACTCTAGAACACCGACGTAATCGCCTTTAGTGGTGCAGACAACGGTCACTCTGGGATTAGGAATGGAACAGTATTGTCTTTAGTGACGAGTCTTGATTTTGTCTAGGCATGCACGATGGTCGTGCCAGGGTTAGAAGGCGACGTGGTGAAAGGAGGAATCCACAGTTTTTTGTTGAAAGACATGTTCATCACACTGTTGGAGTTATGGTTTGGGGTGCTATAGCTTATGGTCCCAGGTCACCTTTAATCTTCATCAGAGGTAACATGAACGCGCAGCGTTATATCCACGAAGTTCTAGAACCCCATCTTTTACCCTATCTTGACACCCTGGCAGATCCAACTTTCCAACAAGATAATGCCCAACCACATGTTGCAAGACTCACAATAGACTTCTTTCAACATAATGATGTCACATTGTTACCATGGCCACCAAGATCTTCCGACTTATCCCCAATTGAGCACGTGTGGGATATGATGGGTAGGAGATTGCTCAATTTGCAACGTCCTCCTCAGACTCTAGAAGCACTTCGAGAGGAGTTGGTGGTTGCCTGGAATGAGATACCACAGGAGGACATTGACCACCTGATCAGAAGCATGCCTAGGCGCGTTGGAGAATGCGTAGCACATCAGGGTGCATCCACACGTTATTAAAGGTCAAAGGGCTTTAAAGCAGTGCAATCATTTTGAAATTTTTATCATTTACTTATTATGCTTCATTAAATACTTATACAAAATTTAATTAAAATAAAACCATTTAAACTGGGTGTTCGGATTTATATGTCACTTAGTATATAACTCAGACGTACAAACTCAGTATGACAGAATCAGGTAGCTTCTGATTTCAAACAAATTGAATCACATTTGTTGAAAATAGTTATGAACCTTTCATCTGCACCAAAGTCCGCGGATTCGTTACTGGCCAGTACAAAATAGAGATGACAAAATTCGAAACAGTAGGTAAGATAATGGGAATTTCAACTTCATGAAAGGTTCGAAAAATATAAAAGAATCTTCATCTTCAACAAACAATTTGCCGTATTTTCACTTCGCAACTTTTTTTAGTTCATGTTTGAAATTTAGTAGTTGCTGACTTGAGAACAAAATTCACATAACACCTACTTTATAGATATTATCATTGTTATTTTACCTCGCTTAGTAGTAATACGTTACACAATTCTAACTGTCACAAGAAATGCATTCTGTGTTTTTATTGAATCAGCGCGAAATGCTTATGGAAAAGCCGACTATTTTTTCCTAAACCACAATCTCTCGAACATTCCTCAGTGAAAGAAACCGCAAATGCAGATACTATAAATAATGCCTACATTAACGTTAAAACGTATTTGGCAGGAATATTGCGGTGATTCAGTCAAAAAAAAGGTAACGCTTCAATAGTAATTATTCTTACTCAAACTGAGATTCTGTATATGATATTTGTTACACATATACTTTTGAACGTTAATGCAGAACATTTCCCTCCATTTTCTACGGAAAACTCACCATTTCGACACACCAACCGAGAACGTTGGCCAGCCTGATATTTTCAGGCGTCAGGTTCTCGGGCTTTTCTAATATTTTATAAGAGATCACAGTCGATAGTCCCCTGATTTTTTTACCGTTGGGGACATTGAATTGCAATACTTTGGCAAACCTGCAACAAAGAAATCTTGCGGTCAGGCTTCTAGGATTTTGGGGGACTAACGGTTATAAAGTAAAATCATTGATTAACGTATTCTACCTGAAGATAGACAATTTACCGCTACATTCACGCGCGTAGACAAGAAAAACAGAATTCTCCATAATCGGGGATGGGATTCAAAAATAAAAAGTACATTATAAATGTCACTATTGTCCTCTATGAGATGGCATAAGCGCAGAATTAGCGTTCCAATATGACGTTTCATATATAATCATCAACTTAGACTCCATATTGTTTTTTTGCTCTTGTGAATATAATTTTTAAATCTAGCTCTAAAAATGTATGATACGTCGAAGCGTTTCTGCAGTTTTTATGAGGAGATATTGTACATATGACATGAATTGATATTGTAAAAGAGAAAAGTCTAAAAAATCATCCTAGTCTTGGCTTTAACTCATTGAATAAAGAACATCTCAACGCTAAACCTTTTTTATATTACTTAGGGATCGCATTGAATAGATTCAATACAGTATTATTTTATCTATCTGAGCAAACCATTTTTGAGTAAATAAAAGCCTAAAATGATTTTGAGAAAATTCGGTTTATTTCGTTCGGAAATACTTTTGCAAATTGCGAATCTTTCTTAGAGCTATTTTCTTAATCCCTAATACGGAACTTTGCCTCCATTTAACTGACCGTTTTCGAGAGAGTCTCAACTTTTTTCAAAGTACCTATACATACTAGATACAGAAGCAGCTTCTCACAGTTGACGATCTCATTTAATCTAAGATCATTTTTTGGATGCGGGAATACAGCATTAGGATGTGTATCGTCAGGTAGAATACATTCAACATTCCCCATATTAGCGAAAATTGAGCTACATGGCTTTTTGACCTTTCCATACATTTATAAGCTACATCAGCACTGCTAGCTGTCAGCTGTATCAATTTTCCAATTACTTTACTCTGGATTTTGATCACTGCCACGTACGATGGAAATGATAATGATTGATGTTCGATTGTACGTTTCCTCATTTAGAGAAAATGTATTATTTCGATTGAAACTATGTAAGCAGAACATGAAGAATTGCAAATAAAACTCAATTAACTATAACGATATCATGCAACATAGTACAATACCGATTACAGAATTTAATCGTTTTTATTTATCTTCGATAGCACTTTAGTTATTATTTTTAATCATATGACATTACAAGAGTATATTTATTTCATTGCGTCTCTTCAAATTTGTGATGTCTTTTCCAAATAAACTGGTATTTTTCATTGTGATTTAGCATTTTTCCATTTTAATTAGAAATGATCAAAGTAACTAGTTAGAAAATCACTTTGTATCAGTGGCCCACTATTTTTGTTTTTAATATATGACAAGACATGTTTGCAGGGATACCATTAATGTCGTAATAGAAAAAAATTTAACACTAAAATATGCCTTTTCAAAAATACTCATGTAACACGTCAAAAAATAAAAATAACATTTAAAGCATTATAAAATATAAAATAAAAACGTTTCCTTTTAAATTCAATACTCTGTAGCTAAAACTTTTAGCCATTGCGGACATACGTTAAAATTATATGAGGAATCTTCTTATGGAATATTAGCACATCATCAAGGAACGTCCTGTATCCAAGGTGTGACCAATAGTTATAAATTTTCATATTTCTATACAGTTCAAAGAAGTTAAAATAACGCAGTTATGTTTAACAGGGATTAGGTATGAAAATGTTTGCGATGTTTTGATTTTTGAGTGCTCGTTATGTAAAGTTTGAATAATACATCGGAAGACTTTTGTTCTTCATTTAACAGGTTTATGCCATAGATTGGTGACTGTGAGCTATGAGAATGGTCGAATGGTGAGTGACAGGTGATTACGACAGATATTTAACATTGTTAATGTTAAGAAAAACTTTCGTCTATGAGGATATATCCATTAAAAATAATATCTAGCTAGATACACACTTTAAAATAATGTTATAAATACTTAGGTCATCATACGTTAATCAAAGTTGTCAAACGCTCAGAGAGTATCAACGCCTCTAAACTGTGATACTAGCAGTTTGATCAATCAAATAAGGTAGAAACACAAACTTACCTTTTGGTGACCTCCGGTATGTCCGTATGACGACCAGCGTCTGTGAGGTCTCTGACGATATCCGGAAACACAGCCATGAATTCCCTACTTTCCTCTTTGGAGAAGAAGGGAGTTGCGGCTTGTGGAGGTTTCACCTTTGTCTGAATCGTAGATAAAGCCCTGGAACAAAAGAAAAACCAACTTTATTTTCTCTACTAACCAGATAAACTACAAGTTGTAAAACATCAGGCACTTTTTAATATTTGGGTGTCATCAAGACCATCATATTTTTAGTCCCTCAAACAGCTAACGATTTTTCAAAGCCTACGTGACAATTGACACGCAACCACTTGGTTCTTAGTATCCCTGCCCTTTTTGCTGTTCTCCATACCCTTACTGCTTATCGCAAGGTCACGTCATTGTATGTAACTATTTTATGGTCTGTTTGTTGGATAGCTACCGGAGAGCAGACAAAGCAGATATCCAATTCATGCATTTTAACGATTTTTAACAGTTTATATTTATTTCGGTTTTGCCAGTATCCCCGCCACCGATGGATCAGTTTTCAAAAACTACACTTTTTCGTTCATGGCGTGGTAGCAAACTTGTAAAAATTTCATCAAAATCCGACCAGTATTTTCACATATTAGCGGACAGACAGATAGACCGACCGACGAAAAGAAATTTTCGTAATTACAATAATTCCTCGTCAATTGTCGCGGGAAGTAGAAACCTGATTTCATTAATATATTTTCCTCGGTTTCTCAACAACGTGCAACAGTTGTTTTCCAGAATAGAACACCAGTTTCTATGGCAACATGCCTATGCTTCAGCGTCAACTAACTTTGCAAATTGACATAAATACAGTGCTTCTACCCGTATGACCTCTATTTTCTAAAAAACGTGTAATCTATCCTAAATTGGATAATTATTATGAATCAAATGCGTGGAAAACGCTCAGAGAGTAATGTTCAGCGTTCAATCAGTGATCTTTGAACTGCCTCTATTTTACATAATTTTAGATTGATCGAACTGTTTTGACCGATTGATCACCATACATGTAATACACATGTGCATAAATGTAGCAATGTTTATAAATAACGTGAACATTGATTAATAAGATGTCTTTTTAATCACTTTGCGGAATTTGTAGATCAATAACATCTGTTATCTTAACATTAAGCAGTATTTCAGCATGATCAATATTAACATTATTTACTCCAAAAGAGTTTTGTCATCAAAACCGTTTTTTAATTATTTAAAACTTCTAAGATGAAAATTTATTTGAGGAATACATCACCAAAAATATATTCAACCCGGCGATCTCTGGAATCGTTAGAATATAAATGCATCAGTTCTTTAGTCTAATCTTGACTGTAGATTATGCTGTTATACTCGTTATACCAGTTTCATAGTCCCTGTTTAACGAAAACAGAATACCATTAAACGGTTCACGTTTCAGCATCTTTACATCTCTCAAAGCAGACTTTAAAATTATATTAGATACTGAACTGATTCAAATATATTGGTTTACACGTGAGCAGCAGCAAACTATTTTTTTTTTATAAACGTTTTGCACCTGTCCATACACTGTGTTCCGGCTTCCAAAAAGAGATTTCAAAGATACGAGCGCCATCTATGTGACAGTAGCAAAACACAAACATGAATTTATAAACCTACTTTACTAAAGAGTTGGAGCGTTTGTTTCTGCTACTGTCTTACAGGTGGCACTAGTATCTCTCAGATAAATTTCTCGACACTGGAATGCGGAATATGCTTGGCAATCTTTAGGTAGATGTTAATGCTATTTTACAGCAAAATATTGCAAATGTACACTGTACAGCTGCACTGACGCATTATGACAATTTTAGACTTTTTTATGCAAAATACTTTAGAAGTCTTCATCTGAACAGCAGTGATAGAATATGTATCAAGATAACAATTTGATTTTGCTTGCTCAACAAAATAGTCGATAGAACTAATCCATAAAGATAAGAGATATATATCTTCAATGAGTGTCAAGCGATAGCGAAACTAGCTATAAATTATCTCTGACAGTTTGAATGCATTTACTAGTAATAATTCGTAAGCTTGGTGTTAAGAGCAAGCCCGCAAAATTTTCAAAACATCGGGTCACGAATGTCTAGCTATATGTTTGCTAGGGGCTCTCTTCAAGAAGAGAAGAGGTGAAGAGAGAGAAGAGAATATAAATAGTTATCCTAGAACTGCAACAAGGCTGGGATATCGTTTTTGGTTTCATGGGCTTCAGAGTGAAACTGTCAATTACTGCGCTTGGCTTTACAACTTTTGGGGCAAGGGGCAACTCCGCTGCTGGTATCTTCATCTACCATCAACTGGACTGAAATGACAATATGCCTAGGGATCCCACAAGCGCCTTAATTATCTTTATGTGCTTACGGGACCTTGCTCTACCAACTCTGTTGTTAAAATCACCGACTATTCGAAACAGAACCAACAAAAGCACTTCCTGGTACAAACGTATTTAAGCCGAGACTTCACGGTTTGATAGGGCGACCAGACTTTCTACGCCCTCCAACACTTTTCGCGTGCAAAAAACTAAAGTTCATCGTTCCATGCGAAATCAGCAGCCGTCAGAGTAGGCGATACGATTTTTATTGTTAACATACCGTTAGGCCAATCATTAATCATCTAATTAATAATAGCTAGGGATTTTGTTTGTGTTTGAGCGTTGCTGTACAAAGGTTGGTGTTGGTAATTTTATTGTTTGTCGCACAGATACGCTCTGCCCGTCGTAATTGGGGACATAAGCCACGGTTTAGTGAGCATTCATGAAGAGAGTGAAAAATAGAACAGTTAGTTGTCGAAAAAGACCATCGGGGGCCTGATAGTATAAATAGGTAGACGTTAACGCTATTTGGGATGGTTAAGTGAGGAATTGTTGCACATATAGACGAAGTTGGCACGAAGCTCAAAAAATTTGCTCTCTTCTACCGCTTTGTTTACAGGCTTTGCTCCTCAGACCCGTCCTCAATGATGCCGTCACACGTTGAGCATGCCAGACGGACCCGCCAGGCTTCTCCCTCCCATCCCAGCTCTGCCAATTTTCGCACATCGAAGACTGGCCGATACGACCGCTCCTTCGTTCCTAGGGGTAGAGATTGTAAAGCATTCTGCCTGAAGAGGTTTTCCTAGTTCTTTTCACCTTAGGCAGTTAAAAAATTGTATCAAGTTCCTTATAGCAGTTGCGGTACCTCGGCATTTACGTCTCTGCCTATGCGACTCCTTCAGTATCAAAAAAAAAATCTTTTCACTAACCAGTTACTGTGGTTTGTTAAACATTGCACATATTCTTCTACTAGTACCTACGTCTAAAGATTCGTTGAAAGATTCGTGCATCCCAGCGGATGTTAATCCGATTCTTGGAATGCCTAAAGATAGTAGAACTGGGAAAAGCCTCCCCAGGCAGATTGTTTCACAATCTTGACGCCCTAGGGACCAAGGACAAGTCAGACCCTCCAGTTCCAAATATACGGTTAGGATAGGAGGCCTAAGTCAGGCTGATCGCGCGGCGGGATCATGGATGAGAGCTTTAAGGACCAAGGAATGTTGACATAACGCTGGAAGAGAGTCAGAACGCCGACGGCTAGTCGGTGCGAAAATGACCCGAGCCTACTCGTCGATCAGAGCCAGAGCCCTCCTGAACAGCATATTAAAGACCTTAAGGTGCCTAAGACTTCTAGAGAGAAGAAATTACCAACAAAACGCATAAAAGCTTTGACAAATATCGTGTAATAAATAATCAATAGGATGCTCAGAATCCAAGCATTTTCCAAGTCGTGACAAAACGATGTTTTATTTTCTTTTGGAGAGGCATTTAGGATGAACTTGGACAAAGTAATACACTACACAAGTTTTATCAAAACAAAGCGTTATGAATTGTACATAGTCATATTCCAGCATCACATTTCCGATGGTTTGATACCCGATTGTAAACTGAACGCGCAAGCGTTGTCAAAGGACTAGTTTCAAATTTGAATCTGCTAAACACAGCATCGTATTTGATGAAATTCTACGTTTCCTTCCTCATTGTTAGGCCATTGAAGTCCAGTTCCATATGTACTGCTTAAGAACTTGATTAAACGTCTTATTATGTAGAATAACGAATCGTTATATCAAGTTTTTCTGCTAGAGCACGAAAAGATATTTCATGTCCTGTGAACTAGAAAAATATGAGTGTTTGCTCTTAGGCATAAAGATTTTCGTTGCCTCCTTCAAGAATATGCTATGTTCGTATTTAGTTGAAATATTTTCGGCCACTTTGCGAGTCACTGAAATGTCCCAAGAATTCACTTCCATTGCAAAGAGGTCTCGTTACATTTACGTAATGCTCATTTTTTTTCGATTAGTAAGTGCCGAATATGTTTTCATCATTACACGAATCGATATCTGAGATCGAATAGGATTCTGAACTTGAACTAAGACTCTGATATTTCTGTAAGCAATACAAACAGGTAATGTATACGCAATAGAAAACTAGTACACAACAAATTTTATATAAACAGTTCATTCTTTTCAAGTGATACAAACTATTCAAAATTACAACAAAACCAAGAAAGACGCAAACTCCCCAAGACGATTCAAAAACCATAACCCGAAATCATAAGGCACCCATAACAAAACAAGATGTGCGATCTGCGCTTGTCAGAAACCACGAGTCCTGCAAAATCCTGTGTACTGTTTCGACCGTCTGAAACCAGTTTTCAATCCAAAAATTGATTTTCTGAAACAGCGATAGTCCCCAACCAAGTTTTACCCTTGCTCGAACCTGTTTTCGCCACGCTCAGTCGGCTTCAATGCGTTGGAATTGTGATACTAGAACATTACTACTAATATTACCACCCACAGCTTATCCCAGCCTTTTTCGGTTTCAAACGCACGCAATCGCAAAGCTTTAATAGCAGGGTAAAATAACCGGGGCATTAGCAGAGTCGAAAAAAAGGGTATAGAATATAGATAGAAGAAGCGGTTGCCTGCCGGTCGTCACGTAGGCTACGAACGAGATGTCGTTGGCCTTTCTTGCAACATTGAACAGAGGCGGAGAGGCGAAATACAAAACACGCACCGACTCGGCGCGATCGACGTCGTAAAAAGTAGGTCGAAACACGCAGATCAAAACAAACGAAAGCTACTTGCTCACTAGATGAACGTTCCAGCGTTCCTCTGAAAATATACCGAGAAATCAAAGCTAACCTGACATTGATATATTTATTTGGTGTTTTTATCAAGTATGGAACTACAACAAGACATATCGTTTTAGATAACTTCACAATACACTGTTTATTGTGCTTATCAAATAAACTAGAACAGAACGGTACGGAAAAAAACTGGTGCATCATTGTGGTATCTATAAATGTTTATGTAAGCCAAAATAGGGAACAACCAGCACTATACTTGAATGATCGAAGCTTCAACACGAGGTTGATACTAATTTAATTATTGTGTTTTACAAATAAGAAGGAAGGTCGTGCTCATGATAAGAAGCAAAACTTGTGAATGAAATTGTATCTCTGTGTATATTTCCGTTGTTAGCAGTAACTATTCAACTCCATTTATCAATTCAAGCATCATGTATAATCATAAGTTCAACTTAATTTAATTCCACTAAACTATATTTGAGATACACGCCGAAAATTGATTTTGCTCTACAGAATGAAAGTCTTGTAAGAAACTTTAGGTATTTGTAATACCTCAGCAGCTTAACTGAGGAGGAGTGGCAGGTCGACAAATCTCTTGAACCACTGTATAAAATTAAAGCTAAAAATAGGGGCAATAACAAAATGATTATCAAAATATTGCGTCAATTCATTTGTATAAAGATAAAAACAATTTTGTTTTCAATAAATCTGGTCAAAAGTCGTTTAACTCACCTATCAGTGACTTCTGAGGATGACCCCTGATTAAATTATAATGACAAGTGCGAAAACAAGTTGCTTTCAACATTTTGTACGATTTTACTTATAAAAATCCAATCTTGGGAACGTCTACATACTTTGGCACGAAACTTGATAATCTAGTCACTAAGTTGTGTAAAATAAGCACGTTTAGAGAAATCCACAACTTGTTTTAATTGGGTACAATTAGGAATTCGGTAAAGTGCAAATTAAAATTGCTTAGTGAATTGAAGATTTTTGACTTGTAATTTGGGAGGTTACTGCAAAATCTTGATGAAAGGGGTTGAATATTTAGAACCTAGGGGAGAATGCACATCGGCGTCCGCATGATTTTCGAGCGTCGGAAAGAGATAACTTTTTCTGAAAGTGTACCTGTCTCCAAAACTTTTTGAAGAAGGGGGCAGCAAAGTTTACCATTCAAATTCCAGATTCTCAGGGGGGCATGCCACCTCTACCCCCTCCCCCTGCGGGCGCCCATGTATATGCATCGACAGTTGCATCATTCAACAAAGAAAAAGAAAAATTATTATTTATTTGTTTTAACATACCTATATAGATAAGCGTTACCATAATGTCAATATCTTAATCCAGTTTTTGTGATACTGATTATGAAATGCTGATTTTTTCAAATGCTTGCTGCAGCAGGTAATCAATTTTCCTGATGCAATGTTATGTAACCTGTACTCTTGTCAAAAGCGCAAACATAAAATAAATATTATTTTCTAATATTTCATTGATGTTTAGCTGGGTCTCTACGAATTCCTAAATTCAAGCTTCTACAGGTGTAAGCTTTGACCAAGTATCTTTTATTATTTCGCTTAAAAGTTTTTTTGTACATTTTTTGTTAAATCAATGGATGTATCTCTGAGATTAAACAAAAGTAAAATACTACATACACATCAGTGGGTGCGCAGATTTACTGAGGTTGAAAGCGTATACATATACTCCAAAAAATTGAGATGTACCATCTCTAAGATCACCAACCCCTACGCAAATTTTCTTAACATATCAGGAGCCACTGGAACGCTCAAAAACGAAGTATGATCGATACATTTTTTTGACCCTAGTTCCGCCGCTACTGAACCGATTTGCAAAAACTACAAAGCTTTTTTATCTTCATGTGAAAATAATGAGAAAATTAGTGACACGGTCTTTCATTATATACAACATCAAAAACTCTTATCCTATTTTTTTTTCGCGATCACCAAGCTTTCTCGCCAGTGGCGTCGTAAGAAAAAAAAAGAAGACAATAGATGATGGATAATTATTATTGGTCACTCACGGTACTCCAGAATTTAGGTTACGCTTTGAGCTTAAAAGGAAGAATACAAAAGCTCATACCAAAAAAGCTTTATCAGTGTAAACATAAAAAGCCAAACAATAGAATCGCAACTGATATGAATTCGATATTATCGAAGGATACTAAGGCAAAAGAAGAAAAATAAATTGATTCCACCCAAACTTTGGTTGAAGCTTTCCCACTCACCTAATGTTATTTTGTCTACTGAGCTTAATCCATTTGGACTTGGTGTGCCTGTCAGACTTCAACTCCGTGCCTCTACCATCTTGCCTGGAAGAGATCGCCTCGCTGTTGGAGGCCGAGGAAGTCTTGCTGATGCTCCTTCTCAAGTCCCTCAAGATTTCTCGGCTGGTTCGGTTCAGAAACATCCTCTCAGACGCAAACATATCGCATACAGAAAATGACCTCTATATTCTTGACACAACACTAGTAAACTGTCGAAGAAGAAGGTCCCAAATCGCTTATAAACCGGCGGAGAGAGACGCGAAGAAAACAATCGCAAGCTCGACGAGGTGTCTCGCTTCCACAGTGCGGTGGTGCCAGATCGCTGGGCCTAAGAACGTCGATGAAGTGATACGTATCGCAAGATACACCAGTTGTTTATAGGCCGGTGGTTGGGTAACGAGATTTAGCAATAAATTGTTTTTGTTATTTTTGGTGACGGTGACTAACGTCGCAGAAACGAAAGCATAGGTCATTGTTCCATTCTCGAAGAATTATTATTGTAGATTAGCAGGAAGTCTAGTTTTTATCAGGGGAGTATTGGAGCTTTCGAGCTTGGAGGTAGGGTGAAAAATGAAAGCAATGTTGGGCAGTTTAATGCTTAAAAAACATAGTATTAGTTTCGATTGATGGAGTTCTGCCAATGGCACATCTTGTCAATCACGACAGTTGCTGGGCTGCTGGGAAAAAGTTATATGTTCACGAATAAAAAGTACTTTTCTTCACAGAACCTTCTTACTCTGTACAAGACCGAGCTTCGATTACTGCTAACATATTTGGGGTACTGCTGCCCCGACTACACTGTTCATACTCGATGCTGTTCGACTGATCGATGACACTTCTTTAACGAACAATCTCGAGGCCCTTTCACACGGATGAGTAGTCGGCGATTCGGTTCTCTTCTATCGCTATGCCAACGGGCTTTACGCCCCGAAGCTCTCCTCCATGATGTTACCGTGCGTTGTGCCTGAGTCCGCCAGCGAGGCATGTCTTCCGCATTGCACATCCAGAACAGCCCAATATACAGGTATACGACCGCTCCTTTGTTCGTAGGGTGTCGAGATGATAAAACAATCTACCCGTGGAGGCATTTTCTAGATCTAGTAGCCTCAGGCAGTTCAAAAGTCGAATTATCAAAATGTCTTTAGCCTCGATAATTGGGTTTCTGCCTACGCCGCTGCATCAGTATAGAATGAAAGGACTGGGGTGCCCCATGGTGCATACCGATGCGTTTTGAATCTTTCTGCATGGTGGCCCCCAGAACCCGTGTTCCTGGATGAGCTAGGTATGGTCTAGGATCTAACGTTAACATCTTGGGGATGCAAGGTATTGTATCCCACGCATCGACACAGATGCGCCGAGAACTTCTCTTCTACCAGCAGCACGGATGGTGATAATGTCTAAGCTGGTTAAAGCCAGGCCTCAACTCCACCGGCAACTATAGACACGTCATAACATCATCTCTTGGCACTAAGTCCTAGGTCACGAATCTTGATAAACGCAATACAAGGATCCGAGAACCCACCTCTAGAGCCTGATGTTTATGCCATACAGTCAATAAGGAAGATAGTTGGTTCTTCCTAGTAACATCTGATTGCCATCATCATCATTTACCAATCAACCTCTAAAATTCCAAACCTGAAAATTGATGATCCGCCAACATAATTCCACCGAGCCATAAGTCATCAGACGCTTCTCTCCTCATTCGCCATTCAAAGTTCCCACGACACGTACGCCATTTCCGAGATTTCCGGAAATCCAGGTGTATCGGCATCGTCGCGCAGAGTTCACGCAATATGTGAATGGGCGCCGGCGTCGCGTACGTGCAGATCGGCTGACGCGTCATGGCTCACCGAGAAAACAAAGGGGCAGATAGTCAGCTGTTTTCTGTTTTGGTGTGCTTTCACCCCCCGCCCGTACGAGTCTTTACGCACGTCGGCGCCTTGTCTTGTCTATTGCCGAGGGAATTCCGACGCGAGTCGTAGTGGCGTTGCCGCATCGGTACAACGTCAATGTGTGCAAGTGCACGTTGACCTCTGCACTAAGAATATGAATATAGCAATGCAACATACAAATGTAGGACGACGCCACCCTTGGAAAATTAGTTCCTTGAATGAATGCATGAAGACATTAGAGGCCAACCGGTCACCTTGATTCCATTTTATAAGCCTCAAGCTCCGCTCTCCTGGCAAAGTTTAGTATAGCCCTGAATCCCAGCTCCTTAACATTCTGGGATCCAAAGCGACACAGAACATGCACCGAGGACTATTTTTGTGCCCTGTAGCGCTCATACATGAGATCTTCAGCCATGTCTATCTCATGCAGGTGATGCCTCATCGTGTTATGAGCAACCAACATTAAAGATTAGTTTTGTATTAAAAACACAATAATACTGGCATATCAGGTATTCTATTTATCCTCGTCTATGCCTTGGGCACCGTCGGCCTTTCTCCTTACCGCCTTCTAGGGGAAGGAGGCAAGAACTGACCATCGGAAGATCAAAGTTATCTTCATTTTACTGGAAGCAGGTGGCAAGTGTGACTATCAATGATCTAAACAAGAAGTTCGCCCAGAGAACATACTCCAGCAGAAGAAAGAAAAGTCCTTAAGAAAATGTATCCTACCTCTGATATTCATTCTTTTTCAACAACTCAAGCTGGGTCTTCAGAGTATCTGAGGAAGTCAGAACACGAACTGTCGCAAAAAGATCATACAGCGTCAATGAAAAAGACCATCCTCCAGAAATGTGCCCTAGCTGATATCTGCGACCCCTGACTTGTTCAGACTTCGAGAAAGTTTCCGGATTTTGGAAGATTACTCCCCAAACGCCCTCAACAAACAGAAAGCATGGCCTTTTTTACGTTCCAGTAGGTGGGATGAAATGCCAGCTTCTGAAATACATCCTACCTTCAATATCATTCCACTACTCAGGCATCGTCGAAGCTCCAGATCAGGAAGCATTTTGCCCTTACTTCCTACAGAAACAGTGCAAGAGCCACTAAGGAGGAATCATGCTGCCCTGCACCGACCCGGGCACTTTTCCAAGGCTTTGGCCCGGAAGATTTTGCTAATTCCACTCCAATTTCCAACTTTTACGTCGCAAAAGGATCCTCTGGCGTCAATTAACCGACCATCCTTCAGAAATGTGTCCTACCCTGATAACTGGGATCCTTGAGTTTCTTAGACCTCGAGAAAGTTTCCGGCTTGTGGAGGACTTCTCCTCGAACGTCCCCTAGAAATCTTACTTCCTACAGAAACAGTGCAAGAGCCACTAAGGAGGAATCATGCTGCCCTGCACCGACCCGGGTACTTTTCAAAGGCTTTGGCCAGGAAGATTTCGCTAATTCCACTCCAATTTCCAACTTTTACGTCGCAAAAGGATCCTCCCGCTTCGATTAACAGACCATCCTCCAGAAATGTGTCCTACCCTGATAACTGGGATCCTCGAGTTTCTTAGACCTCGTGAAAGTTTCCGGATTGTGGAGGACTTCTCCTCGAACGTCCCCTAGAAACCTTACTTCCTACAGAAACAGTGCAAGAGCCACTAAGGAGGAATCATGCTGCTCCGCACCGACCCGGGCACTTTTCAAGAGCTTTGGCCCGGAAGATTTCGCTAATTCCACTCCAATTTCCTACATTTTCGTCGCAAAAGGATCCTCCGGCGTCAATTAACAGACCATCCTCCAGAAATGTGTCCTACCCTAATAACAGGGATCCTTGAGTTTCTTAGATCTCGAGAAAGCTTCCGGATTGTGGAGGACTTCTCCCCGAACGTCCCCTAGAAACCTTAATTCCTACACAAACAGTGCAAGAGCCACTAAGGAGGAATCATGCTGCCCTGCACCGACCCGGGCACTTTTCCAAGGCTTTGGCCCGGAAGATTTTGCTAATTCCACTCCAATTTCCAACTTTTACGTCGCAAAAGGATCCTCTGGCGTCAATTAACCGACCATCCTTCAGAAATGTGTCCTACCCTGATAACTGGGATCCTTGAGTTTCTTAGACCTCGAGAAAGTTTCCGGCTTGTGGAGGACTTCTCCTCGAACGTCCCCTAGAAATCTTACTTCCTACAGAAACAGTGCAAGAGCCACTAAGGAGGAATCATGCTGCCCTGCACCGACCCGGGTACTTTTCAAAGGCTTTGGCCAGGAAGATTTCGCTAATTCCACTCCAATTTCCAACTTTTACGTCGCAAAAGGATCCTCCCGCTTCGATTAACAGACCATCCTCCAGAAATGTGTCCTACCCTGATAACTGGGATCCTCGAGTTTCTTAGACCTCGTGAAAGTTTCCGGATTGTGGAGGACTTCTCCTCGAACGTCCCCTAGAAACCTTACTTCCTACAGAAACAGTGCAAGAGCCACTAAGGAGGAATCATGCTGCTCCGCACCGACCCGGGCACTTTTCAAGAGCTTTGGCCCGGAAGATTTCGCTAATTCCACTCCAATTTCCTACATTTTCGTCGCAAAAGGATCCTCCGGCGTCAATTAACAGACCATCCTCCAGAAATGTGTCCTACCCTAATAACAGGGATCCTTGAGTTTCTTAGATCTCGAGAAAGCTTCCGGATTGTGGAGGACTTCTCCCCGAACGTCCCCTAGAAACCTTAATTCCTACACAAACAGTGCAAGAGCCACTAAGGAGGAATCATGCTGCCCTGCACCGACCCGGGCACTTTTCCAAGGCTTTGGCCCGGAAGATTTTGCTAATTCCACTCCAATTTCCAACTTTTACGTCGCAAAAGGATCCTCTGGCGTCAATTAACCGACCATCCTTCAGAAATGTGTCCTACCCTGATAACTGGGATCCTTGAGTTTCTTAGACCTCGAGAAAGTTTCCGGCTTGTGGAGGACTTCTCCTCGAACGTCCCCTAGAAATCTTACTTCCTACAGAAACAGTGCAAGAGCCACTAAGGAGGAATCATGCTGCCCTGCACCGACCCGGGTACTTTTCAAAGGCTTTGGCCAGGAAGATTTCGCTAATTCCACTCCAATTTCCAACTTTTACGTCGCAAAAGGATCCTCCCGCTTCGATTAACAGACCATCCTCCAGAAATGTGTCCTACCCTGATAACTGGGATCCTCGAGTTTCTTAGACCTCGTGAAAGTTTCCGGATTGTGGAGGACTTCTCCTCGAACGTCCCCTAGAAACCTTACTTCCTACAGAAACAGTGCAAGAGCCACTAAGGAGGAATCATGCTGCTCCGCACCGACCCGGGCACTTTTCAAGAGCTTTGGCCCGGAAGATTTCGCTAATTCCACTCCAATTTCCTACATTTTCGTCGCAAAAGGATCCTCCGGCGTCAATTAACAGACCATCCTCCAGAAATGTGTCCTACCCTAATAACAGGGATCCTTGAGTTTCTTAGATCTCGAGA